TGACATGTCATCAGGAGAGACCAGGCCCCGGAGAAGGACATCATGCTTGGTAAAGTAGAAGGGCTGTGACAAACAGGAAGGCCCTCAATGAATTGGATTGAGACAGTGGCTGTTACAATGGCTCAAACATAAGAACAATTGTAAGGATGGTGCAGGATCAGGCAGTTTTGCTCTGTTGTTCAAGGGGTCCCTATTAGTCAGAGCCAACTCTTTGACACCTAACAACAACAGCAACAATCCAAGTCTCTGACTCTGAACAAATGATTGGGTGGGATATGCAAATCAAGGGTGTATAACACTAATAGAAGACACTAATCAGCTTGTGTTACCATCTCCCTAGCTAAAAGAGTGAGACATCTTTGAAGAGAAGAGAGAAAGAAACTGAGGACCCTGGAAAATCACATTCAAGATCTGTCTGAAGTGGCAGAAGCCTCCAAAACTAGATGTATCACAGACAGTGGCAAAGAGGCTAAGAGGTGCAGTGCTGAGGTTAGGGATTAAGACTAGGAAACTGTGGGACAGGCTTAACAGTTGCCCAGCTAAGGAACTATGTGGCTGAGAAGTTGAGCACTGGAGAGAGATGAGGTTGTGGAAACCCAATGACTGTATCCTAATCGGGTGCCGAAACTGATTTGTAGTAACCCATTGACTTCCCTAGTAACCAAAAACTGCCATTGAATCGATTGTGAGTCATAGCAAGCCTATAAAATAGAAAAGAAATGGCCCTATGGTTTTGCAAAATTTTAACTCTTTATAGGAGTAGAAAGCCCCATCTTTCCCCCCTGGAGCGGCTGGTGGTTTTGAAGTGCTGGCCTTGGGATTAGCAGCCTAACTAGTAACCACTATGCCATCAGGGCTCCTAAATTCTGAATATTGTCTGTGAGTTCTGTGTGGCTATTATAATGAATTATGAAACCCAGCATATGTAGAATGATTTTGGAGAAGAGTTGGTGTCAGAATAGGTAGAGAAGGATGAACTATAGAGGCTTGTCTGACCCCTGCCTCATGGAAATAGGGAAGTGAGAGGAGGTCAGATCCATCAAACCTCCACTGCTGTTTATGGCATCACCAAGGATCCTTATATTGAGAAGTGACACAATAAACATGATCTTATGATTTAACAAGTAGTGACCGGCACAGTTTAGTTGAGAATAAAAATTGGTACAGATAAATTACAGGAAAAATTCAAGACAGTAGGGGACCATGGCCATATGAAATATATAGATGGTATGGCATTTATTATTAATGAAAGATATATATGAAACATGAAAACTTATATAAGTTAGTTAATATTCTACCCATTCATTTTCCTTCATTTCCTATATTTTAAAGTAAGTTTGTTTGACTACTTATACTGCCACCACCAACTTAGACCCCTTTAAAGTCTTCTCTAAACTATGAAAAATCTTAAATAGTTAATGCTGTCTACAAAATGAACTTCAATAACCTATCTTGGCATAGAAAGAACAAAGGCTTCTTGAGAGGGCAACACTCAATAACAGACTAGCTAGGAAAGGTGAGACAGCTGAGCAGAGATTTCAGCAGACCACATGAAAACCACGTTCTTCCAAATTAGAAGGACATAGTAAAAAACCTTTGAAAGGCCATGCTGTAAGAGTACACACAGTTCAGGACTAAGACTAAAGGCAAAACTGAAAGAGAGCCACTTTAGTGAAGCATTAAATCAGTCCTTTACAAACCCACATTTAACTGTCTCTTAGAAAATACATCTTCCTGAATGCACAAAAAAGTATGAAAGGACACATGCTAAATTGTTATCAGAGCTTCCTTCTATGGAGAAAGAGGCTAAGTGGACAAGAGTTTGGGGAGCAGAGGGAGAAAGGACTGACTAGTAGCTGGTTGGGCTTACAATACGGATCTGTGGTGAGAAGAGAAGTGTTGTTATTGGGGCTGCAGTTCATACAAAGCAAGTGTAAACAAGTCTCTATGATCAGTGGATGATGGCACAAAGGTTCTTGCACTTGTCCTTGTTTTGACAGGGTTGGGTGACTTAAAAAAAATCCCATTAAAACTGCTGTTTCAGAAGGGATATGCTGTTAATTTCAAGGCAGAGTTATGACCAGGGCTTCCTGAGACCCCAAAGGGGTAATCTTGATCTATTTCCCCAAAAGATACAAGGCAATCACTGGGGGTGAGGGGGTGGTGGTCTTATTCGGGAAAACTTCTCAGAAAATAGAAAACAGCACTGATGAAAAAAACAGCAGGAAAGTTGTGAAGAATTTTTTTTTCTTCCCATCATGAATATGCACCTGGCCCGTTCTTCAAGGATTGTGTTATGATAATTTAATTGGGAAGCTTTATACCATTCGAACCAAAGACCTTATCTTGCCTCTTTAGAGATTTTTTTTGGTACCTCAAACTCAAAGACCATTCTAAAGAAACATGATTTTAAGTCCCTCTATGATGGCAAAGGGGCTATTTTGAAATGGAGCAAATAAGAAGGTGTAGAATTCTTTTGAGAAGACTCAGAAATACTGCTTTCCAAAGTTTATAGTCCTACTAAGTGGATATGTCAAGAAACAGTTTGAAACGTTTACTTAATAACGGTTTCTGATGTTGTAGAAATCTTTCCTACTTGCCTTCATAGAGCCCCTTTTCCTTAAAACTACCATCAGAACACGTGCATTTATTTGTCCATAAAGAGAAGAAATGTACGGCAAATATTTATTTTAAAAACCTTCATTTTAACAAAATCAAACTCACTTCACTAAAGATTAAAAAACTGGTTTTGCAACATGGTAGAGCAGTATAAAGGTGAAAGAAAGTAGAAGAGAATACTTCTGATTTAGTAGTACTTGCGACTTAGTCTACACACCTACGTGATGTTCACATTGAAGACGTAACACTCAAGCACAAAGTACACTATGTGGATAATGATGTCTTGAGAGAATGAGCAATATCCAAATGGGTGTACGCTTTGTTAAATTAGATGACCGTCTAGGTTCATGATGGCATGGAACAAATCCTTGTTTCCAGAAGCTGAAGGAGATTCTTAACTATATTATTTTAAAAAATAGATTTAATGAATTAAATGCAGAAGTTTTATTTCTTGAAAATTATGCAAATAACCCAGAAACTGTAACAAAAGTAAAACCAGGGTTACAGAAATAACCGAAAAGAACTAATCAATATAACAAATAAAAAAATTAGTAATATATACTTGAAATTCATAACTAAAGGTAATTTTAGGCAACTAGCCACATATTAAACATGAGTGACTCATCTCTCTGCTTCCTCACTAAAAATGGTTCATGCAGATTAAAACAGGAAAAATCTTAAGGGAAAATTTTGCATCCTAAGATATTTTTCATGTTTACACAAAGATGAACATTTTACTTCTAAGTGCTGATATTTAACAGTACAGTCAGTTAAATGAGAATAAGGGAAAGTTCCAATACAGAGGAGAAAGAAATGCCTCCCCTTCTCTACCTCCCCAAAAGTAGAGGAAGAACATGTAAGATGCCATGCTTGCCACCAAATTACCACAGTGGTTTTGTAAACGTAATTTTTATATTAATACTGCCTCTATTCTCAAGAAAATATCCTAAATGCACTTTTCTATGTGTATAGTCATAAGTCTATAAAACAAAAAACCTCTAAAGGTGTATAAAGATGATCTCTGTAGGTGTTATATATGCCATGTTCCTTGTGCTACTCACTTCCCTGGGTAGCTCTTGTGTGTCATCAGGGTTGGGTAACTTATCCTCCATACCATCCATCTATGTGGTAGATGCTAATGCCAAAGGTAATTGTACAACTAACAGAAAAAATGACCCAGGTCCCCTGTATTTAGAAAACAATTTCTTTAGAAATAATTATAGCACTTTTTAAGTACAGGATGGAAAGAGAGCCATTATGCTTTTAAGCACATCTCAAAATCATTCCTCTAATAGCAAAAATACCTATTAAAATAATAATTTTCCTTTTTATCATTAAATAAGGTATTTATTCTCATAGAATTATTAAGTCTGTATGGATAAATATAGTCAGGTTTAAAAATGTTCCCCAAACTCCAACTGTTAATATAACACTACAATTATGAAATGTAAGCAGACTGAGAGGTTATGGTTAAGTCATTTATTTAATTCTTGGTTAAATAATGAATTTTAAGCAGATGATCATAGGGGTCCATCAGTTTAAAATTCCAACATTTTAATAAAAATGCCTTAAAATTAGCTGATTTCTAAACACATGTATTTCATCTCTTCCACTCAACACACAACATTTACAAATATGGTTTACTTTAAGTTATGAACAAGTAAAAATGACACTAAATTATTATCATTACTCACACTAGGCAGCTTAGAATAGTATACGGAAGGCCATGCACTGTGATCGCTATATTTCTCTAATGAACAGTACACTGAAAAACGATAGTATTTTATTTAGTGTGTTCACCAAACCTATATAAATATGTACAAATACACATGCATGTGTATATATATATAGAGAGAGAGAGAAGAGAGAGAATTTAAAGGTAGCATAAATAGCACATTCCACTGCTAACCAAAAGATTGGAGTCTTGAATCCACTCAAAGGCACGTCAGAATAAAGGATTGCAGACCTACTTCTGAAAACACCCATTTAAAACACCCTATAGGGCGCAGTTGTACTTTGACATACGTGGAAAAGACTCTAAAGTAACTGTGATATTTTCTGGTTTTCCTTCTCTCACAAAAACATGTATTTGTGCAAAAATCAAACTATCTGAAAAGTGTTGCACAACACATATCGTACACGAGGTTGAAAACTAGTGCATTTTAAAGAAAGATCTACTTTGAAAAAAAACTCAAAACAATGTTCAAGTTAAACCAAAGTACTCACGTTGATGCCCATCCCATCAAAGGATTTTCCCATCTCTCCCTGGTATCAAACTCCATCTTCCATTTCTTTGTGTTGTTTACTCCAGATTGCATGTTATTCCGAGCAGGCACAAATATCCTAACCTTTCTGGTTTTGATGTGCTCTTCTGGAACTCCAGTTATAGTGGTGATATCCTACAGAAAAGCAAGCAAACATGTTTGAAACAACCCACAGACTCACTAAGGTAACTTTTTCCTTTGTATAGTCATATAACTCTATTTAGGTTTGTTTATAATTTTTTAAACGTTTTTGGCTTCCCAAATAATTGGGGCCATTAATGAGGGAATTGGGACAAACCTGAGAACCTTGGCACAGGAAACACATAGACTATCAGAAATAGGGAAGGATACAAATACAGAGGAGTCACAAATAGACAAGTGGGTTATTCTGAAGAGAAGTCACCTGTGTACATTGAAAGAATTCACCAAGAGAGTAAAAGATCCCACAGACTGCGAAAACATCTTTAGCAATGACACACCAGACAAAGGCCTTATTACTAAAATCTACAATACTTT